CCCAATAGACTTATGGGGAGGAGTTCCGCAAAGGGCCGCACTTGCCGGGACAAGGTCCACTGAGCAAACTAAACAAAAGTTAAGGTTAGGGTTAAGGTTAGGGTTTGGGTATTCCCCGCTCAAAATATCCCCTCTTTTGTGTGATGTTGGTTGGCCGGCTTCCGAATTATGACAGTTTCATCTACAGACAATCTTCCTTTGCCTGGCAGGTAGCGAAGAGTTGTTTTCAAAGATACTCTTAATATTTGTACTGACTAAAATGGCTTCAGTTTTTGGCAGGAATTAATTTTGGATTTTTCCCGGACGGTGGTCCGCAGAGCCTACACTTTAAATTTTAGAAAAGCCATGAGATCTTTACCGTACGTTACTAACAACAAAGTGAAGGCTAGGGGACTTACCTGGGAGCCGCCAGGAAACTCCTGATCGTACTCACTGAACATAGTGAAGTCTTTACACCTCCAAACTACGAGCCAACAGAAGTCACAATCAGTTCGAATATCTTGCTGACTACACCAGAGGTACGTAGAAAGAGGGAAAGATATGTGTGCAAAAGTTCAGGCCTCGTATATTGTTCCACATAAGAAATAATAATAATAAAAAAAGCTTTCTAATACCACACATCCGTATCCAATAGTGTGTATTCTGTCAACGCCTGCGGGTCATAAAAAGTTTTCCAAACTAATCGACGAAACTGATCATGTTCTTCAATGTTCGCGGAATCGTTTCAACAGAACAGCAAACACGTCTGGTCGCGATATAAACTTCACACATCGTTTCAGATCTCCGTATGTATAACATAAAGTTGAATGACTCAAATTTAAAACGCAAGAACGTCATTGGAAGAGGGTGTTGGTCTTCAAGGGAGGCGTTAGTATCCAATTGAAACACCCACAATACGAAAATAAAAACACTCGATGAATCTTCACCCAGAATCAACCTCGAGGGCTTTATTACAATATTGCAGAGTGCACCCAGCCTGAAAATTGAAATAACCCACGTCCCTGGAAGTTCGAACAACACCAAACTTCGACGAGAACATAACTCCAGTCGAGGCAAAGAGATTACACACAAAGGATATACACGTGTGCAGAAACTATGGCGGTCTTGGAAGTAACTATGACACGTTAAAAGCGATGAATAGTAAGTGAACACACTTCTTTTCTAGCCTGAGCGTTGAGTGACCTTTCAGTCCTTTCCTTTAACTGAACAACACACGTGTCGGTTTTTACCCAGGCCTAACAACAGAAAACTAAAATCACACTCGGGTCTCTTTCTGTTCGCGACGTCTTCCAACAACACACATACGTCCCACAGCGTTATATTATCCCTCCCATCTCGTCAGTCCCACGTCCACTTCGAACTAACATCTCCCACAGTTCTTGGCGCATGTCACAACGGGTCACACACAGTAATTAAATCTCATTGTCACCTGTCCCAATGGACACAGGTGAGCTCGAATATGCCTTTACGCTCCTCTCTCCCTTCCCTTCCTTGCCAGCCGCCCCCCCCCCCCTTCATAAAGGTTGCTTTTCTGACCAACCGCCGGCCCATTTTAACAATGGGGGTCCAAGTGAGGCATGAATGCCTTTTTTCTTGCCGTTTCAATTGGTTGCGTTCAGTGGTTTCTCAACCTACAAACTCCTTCATGAAATCAAATAAGTCAAATAGAGTGTTTTGTACTGGTAATTTAAAACAGGTTCAAATCCAACAAGAGTTTTTTTGTTGTTGTGTTTTTTATGTTTCAGTTTTTACCACAGCTGTATTTACTTCACTCTCTCTTTTAATTCCTTTCTTTTCTTGGTGTCTCTTCGTGCTTAGTATTTCTGCCGGTTATGAATGACGTGCAGTCACTTCTGTGGAACGTTCTTGTGTATGTGTGTGTATGTGTGTGTGTGTGTGT